ATTAATATTTATATTTTAATTAAAAACAAATAGAATTACCTTATTACCCTCACCCTCCCAATCCCTCTTCTTCCCCTTCTTTCTTTCTCTTTCTTTCTTTCCCACCCTAGGTTGGTGGAAAGCTGGGTTCATCGGAACCCAGCAGATGAAACCCAACTGCTGGGTTTCGACGAACCCAGCTGCTGGGTTCGGTTGAAACCCAGCCTTGCTGGGTTGAGGCTGGGTTTTAACTTTGCTGGGTTCGGCCAATTCCATGCGTCTAGCCAAAAAATCCTTCTTCCAATTTTTCGATCTTCCCATTCATTACCCGTGAGCCCTTCATCTCCTAATTCTTTCCATTCTACCCACGAAGAATTGCAAATCTAGATCGACTAATTATTCTCGGATCGTCGATTAACAACTTGATTGCATTTTCCTTGAAATTTGATTAGAGTTTGATTGTATTTTTGTTGAAATTTGATTAGAGTTTGATTGATATTGTTTATTGAAAGGTTAATTTGATTTGATAACATCTGCTAGGTTTGAGGCTCCAATGAAACCCAGTAACTGGGTTCAATGACAGAGAATTCCAAATTCTCTGGTTTATAGACATATTATTTTGTAAGGATTCACCCCACTAGTAGTAGAGGCAACCCAACTCGAGTTAGATTGATTTTGCAGAGAGAGATTGATTTTGCAGAAAGTGAAGGTGAGAGACCATTCTAGGGTTCACAGATCTTATTGGTGGTTTGCAAGCAACGTGAAAGCCATTGAACGGTCTTTGGTGCAGGAAGAAGAGGAAGAAGATGACATGTCATAAAAAAAAATCCATATCAGCACTTTTTAAAGTTGTCCTTGCCATGTCATCAAAAAAAGAATAAAAAATACCACGTGACCGAGTTAAGGGCTCAATTTAACATAAGGACAAACGTTGTGCATTTCTTAAAGTTGAGGGATCAAAAAAGTGCAAAAAATTGTTGAGGGACCAAAAATGTGCAAATCATTAAAGTTGAGGGACCAAATTTAGCATTTAACCTTTTTTTATGTGGATGGGGATCCCTGCGAAACCCTACAAGACAAGGAAAATTCCCTACCTAATTTCACAAAGAAAAATACCTTCATTCCCACCTCGCTCCAGTGATGGGGATCCCTATAAAACCTAGGGAAATCGGGGCAAATTACCACCTCTAATCGTACATACCATCTCTCATTAGCATGGCCTTAATTTTGCAGCTTGTATAACTCTACTTAGAAATGTTTAACCTTTCCTATCCAAAAAACGAAAAACCTTAATTTTTTTATTGGATTTTGGAAAACACTTTTAAGAATGTAATAAGTATATTTTTTTATCATAAAATTATATCGAAAAAATAAATATTAACCTTCAATTCATCGATCACCTGTTTAAATTTATTAATGTAATAGTGACACTAAAATTAATGTCAAATTTTATATTTTTCTATACAAATTAATAATAAAAATGTGACCTTAATCTATACTCAAGATTCAAATTAAAATAATCCTTTTTCATTCTAAATGTTTAAAGAATTTTTTAATCTTTACTTTAAGAGTTTATTTATTATTCTCTTATTATTAGTTTATAAAAAAATAAATTTTTAAGTTTAATTTTATCAATCGTTTAATTAAATCATTTCATGTGATGTTAGTGTAAAAGATAAAATATATTTTTATAATTTTTTATACAAATTAATAATAAAAAGACGAGGTAAATATATTTATAACTTGTGCAATTTCTTCATAACATAAAAATCCCAATGTTTAAAAATAATAATAGTAGTAAGATAAAATAATAATAATAATAATAATAATAGTACTAATTTATTTTTGATAATCAGATACGGTGATGGAGTAGGAATGAACAGAACGCATCTCTTCGTATCACCGTCCATCATAGTATATGCCCCATCAACCATGAAGTTCATTTTCAAGTCCCCCGAACTCGTCCCGCAGCAATGGCCCAAATCTGATATCGTGGGCTTTCAAAATCTCTGGGGGCCACGAACGGGGCTGCGCACGATAGGCTCCGAAGCTACGTCATTGGTGCCATCAAGACACCCGACGCCCTTCGCTGGATTGCTCTAGCGGTGCAACCTCGCATGGTGGCAGCGCTCCAGTCATGGCCTCAGAAGGGTAAAATCAAAACATACAATGAAGTGAAAAAGGTGAAGTCGTCCTCGAACTTTTGCTACGTTCGTAGGAATTCATGGTTGATTCTTTTACATACATTATTTGATTTAAGAATGTTTGACATGAAATTGTAGGACGGCCTACATAATATGTGGGAGGTAAGCTCCATTTGGTTTAATTATTCGTTAAAGCTGATTATAGACACTATTCAGTAGTTAATAGTATCAGTTTTCATGTACATAAAAGCGGATAGTATTAGTTTCAATGTACATAAAAGCAGATCATGACAAATATTTTGTAGGATAGGTTCAATGTTTAACTCTTACTGTTAATGCTCAAGTAAATTAATTTTTTTAAATGTATAGATTGATGTGTGAGATGCACTTTTTAAATTGCCTAAAGAAAGATTAATTTTAATATAAGCAAAAACTGACATGATCATTCAAATTAAAAGAGAAGAAGTTCATAGTGTTTAGATTATAAATAAAAACAGATTTTAAGTATTGAATATATAGCATCATTAGTAAGCTATTTAAAACAGCTAAACCAAATAAAACCGTACTGATACTTTATTTAGTTTAGGGTTTAGCTATTAGACAATAATTATTTTCTAATTGAACAAAAAAGAGTGTTTGGATTATAGATAAAACAGTTATCAGGCTAATAGTTGAACAAAATTAATTTTTTTTTTTTTGTTTGTTACACAATATTGTAGCATGACATATTTGATTTTTTTAAATTTAATTACCATGTTGATGATGAATTCCAATCAATGGAATCTTCTTCTGATACCTTGTGCTTGCAGCTGACATGTGAGAATATTGGAAAATTGTTTGCAAGCTTAGAAAAAGGGCCTACACTAGATACCATGAAAAGTTTGTATGAGGGGGTTATGCAAGGAATCAGGGCTATGCCACTGAAATTTCCGGGAACAGCCTTTCACCACGCCTTTCAGGTTGGATCAAAACGCCATGTATGCTAGTAATTACTTTATTATGAACACCGGGTTCATGCTAATGTATTTCTCTAAATATATGTCACAGTGTAAGAAGAAGATTGAGGCTATATTAAGGGAGTAGCTAGAAAAAAAGAAAAAGAATATGCATGATGGAATTCAGAAGACTAATGACCTAATGGGCTGATGCAAATGAAAAACAAAAAAGGCAATCAATTAAGTGACCAGGAAGTGCTAGACAACAATGTGGTTCTTATTATTGGTGGGTATGAAACTACTACCCTTGCATCAATGTGGGCTGTCCATTATCTTGCCAAGTTTCCTGATGTGCTCAAAAAATTGTGGGAATGGCCCTCTGATACATAATTATAATCCAAGGATAATCTCCATTTTGAGACTAATCTTTGGTATTCTCCTATGATAGGAGGAAAATATGGATCTCGGAAAGAGCAAGTGAGGCAACTTCCTGACACATGAAGATGTTTCTAACTTCTAAGTTAAAGTACACAAACAAGGTTAGATTGCATTAAGAGGAAAGTGTTTCTTCAATTTGGCAAGGGTTATGGTTGTTTATACTGATATTTTTTTATCGGTCTAGATCTAAATTGGAAAATACTAATCACTTGCTTTAATTATTGCTTAATTTGTTTTCCTTTGAGGTCTTCTAATATAGTTATAGTAACGAGTGGACAAACTTCCCGGATTAAATTGTTTGTGCACAGGTTGTGGAAGAAACAATAAGAATGGCAAACATTGTTGTATTTGTTTTTAGATTAGTTTCAAAAGAGGTTGAATTTCAAGGTATGAAGCTAAACTTATTATACAGCTTACAAGCAGACATTCATGCTTATCTCCAATCAAACTGTCATGGACTAATGTAAAACTGCAGGTTATAAAATACCGAAGAACCGGAAAGTCATTCTGTGGCTTCGATATCTCCACATGAATCCAGAAACCTTTGAGGATCCTCTGTGCTTTGATCCTGAGAGATGGAATGTAAGCATCAATATTCCCAGTATTAACAAAGATCATTCGTTTAGCTAAAACGAGCCTGATGCTTTTTTCTTGATTGTCTTGATTAGGAGCCAATGAAGCCAGTTGTTTTTATGGCTTTTGGTGGTGGGGTTAGAATCTGTGCTGGAAACATGCTTGCTCGGATGCAACTTGTGTTCTTTCTTCGCCATTTATCAGCTGGATACAAGTAATATCAATCTATCTATAACGTTTCATAATGCGATACATAATGCTTGTATATATATGACCCTTGATTGATTTCTTGTTGTATGTAATTTCAGGTGGGAACTACTTAATCCAGCTGCAGAGATGCCTTATCTCCCAAATCCAAGGCCAGTTGACGGAGTTGAGGTTTCGATCAGTGCAATCTAGAAAGCTTGTTTAATGTAGTGATTAAACGTTTTGGTTGAATGCAACAATGTAAGATATAAGATTAATGACTCCTTTTGTTTCTGTCATTTTTGTTTCTTGGATTTTTAATATATGGTACATGAGTTAGGGACTCCTTGAAGTAGGAAATGATAAGGTCTTTGTTCTGGAATTCTGGTTGTTGAATTACTACTTTGTTCTATACCCTCCTTGTAACATTCTCTTCCTTTGTATTTCATCAGAAATTCTTCTCTATATAATATGGTATTAGAGTCTTTTGCATCTCAAACACTTCTGAAATTTTAGCTTGAAAATGTCATTTTCCGTTTTACTTTCAAGTTGTAAATTTTCTTTTATTTTTCCTTTCTGTTAGTGGGAAAGAATTTGAGAAAGGAAAGGATTATCAATCACATTATCCAATGGTTGGTGAGGATCAATATGATGCACATTGGCTGCAGGCTTACTATCTTTCTGCATCATCTCATCAGTGTGGGCTGAAAGTGAATAAAAAGCTTCTTACTTTTCTTTTTCAAATTATCTTTTTTTTTTATTAGAGAGTTTAGTATTTTATAATTTAAATTATATAATTAAAGAGTTTAATATTTTTTTATGGGTTTTTCATCTATTTGTGAAAATTATTAGGTGGGAATTGATAAATCCTGGTGCCAAGGTGGTTACCTACCATATCCCAAGCCTGTGGGTGAAGTCAAGATATCCATCACCAAGATTTAAAATTTGTGATTGCTTCTTGTTATATTAGTACGGGATTTTTAAATATGTTTGTTTAAAGATAACTTTTTT